TGGGACCTAAAAAAGCATGAAAGCTTGTTTTTCTTTCCCAGGTTATGAACAAACAGGAAAATGAAGATGAAGATGACTGAGTTAGCTGCAGAAGCCAATATTTTAAGTTTCTCATGTTGACCTGGCTGACATAGTCGATTTAATTTTTGTTAAAAAATATTTCATTTAACTATTTTAGTTAAAAACAATTTTAACAAAAACAAACCTGATTTTAAAAAACTTGAATGTTTAAATTCAAATGCTTGTTTTGTTAAAATATTATGTTTGCTCTTGAAGAAAAAAAATCCAGACTACATAACGTTGTTGTTTTAGTAAAATAAGACAATTTAAATGTCTGTCTGGTGACGTTCTCCTCCTAATACAGCATGGCAAGAAAATTCTCCAAATATTAATGATTAATCTATTGAATTGGAGATATTTATGAAGTCATTGGGAGGTGAACTATCTGCTTCAATTACCTTTGGTAAATGAAATAACCAAACAATCATTCATTTTCTGATATAGCTGTAAAACTAATCTGAAAAGTTTTCAAAATAAATCACTTTAAAAATGTATAGTGTGTACCTTCTAAAAATGAACCCTACATCTATCCTTGAGTTGTGAAGAATATGTATTAAGGTTATAACAACCAACAAGAATGCACTTTTATGTAGACATCCATGATTAAATTGAGACTTCCTGACTAGTGATTTAAATCAAATCCACTCTGACACTATACATAATAAATCAAGATCAATCATGAAACAAGACATTATTTCACCACTTGGTCAGGTCACTCTGCTTGATCAGTCCTCTTTTAATCACATCTCAAGCCCCATCCCTCATTCGTAGGTTGTCTACTTAGCCCAGATTACTGTAATCATATCCAAACAAGCAGATTCATGCAGTCAATAGGGCTCTGCCCACATGAATCCAATTGTAAGTTTGGAACCTTTGACTTCATATTCCTTGGGGCAAGGACCATTTCTTCAATGCTTGTCATTATACAAGTAAATAATTAATAATGGTTAACAAAGCTAGGCTAGATCATTTAAAATTAAAAAAAGAGACATCCTCCCAAAGTATCTGACTGAATATTTCTCTCTCCTCTTTTACTATGGATATAAATGAATCTTACCTTTCTTTAAATAAAGTTTTCATTAGCAGAGAAAGTTTGCAAAGGGTGTGGTACTGTCTTAGCACAGAACTGGGAGCCAGTCCCTCTAGAGTTCTAATTTCACTGTGAAAAATGACTGCCCTGCCCTTCATGTCTTGGCCTAGGGCAAGTCACTTAACTGCCCTGGTTCAGTTTCCCACCTGTAAGATGGGGGAAACAATAATTACTAACTACTACACAGTTTTGTTGTAATGATTACTTAATGAATGTTCATATGGCTCTTTGAAGAACCAAAGTGCCACCTAAGTGCCAAGTAGTATTATTAGAGGATTAAATGATGTATTTTCTCCCTCAAGGTACTTACAGGAAAACACAAAACACGCAACTGTATTTCTAATTAAATGAGATACTCAGAAAGTGGGACATTTTAACACAGATTGCATAATCTTTTGCCAGCTCAGAAAGATTATTCCAGCCACAAACTTTATAGGATTATGCATCCAAGAAAAGAAAAATATCACTCAATTGGCTTTCTGCTGGCAGAATAAGCTTGTCTAAATAAAACATGAAAAAGCATCTCAAGTCTCGGAGACGGAAAAACATCATCTCAAAGAAATGGAAATCATATTTAAAAGCTCTGGGGATGATGAATTTATAATTTCTGAATATGAAGTGATTGCCAACATTGGAGGGGCCAATTTAATAAATAACTGGAGAGGAAAAGAAAAAACTATTCACTGGATGCAACAGAGAGGTCGGATGCTAGATAAACAGGGTAGTGTGCTAAATATTTATGTACTTTCTCCCTGTCTTTGTATTGGAGTGTCACTGTCACTGTTTGGGTGAACAGAATGCAAAACAGAGCATTTCTAATGCCTGAACCACAAGTGAGACACATTTTTACATTATGAAGCCCAGTAACATACAATTTTCTACAAGCAGCAGTATTTGTTTGGGGGTGGGGGGGGGGAAGGAATGACGCTCCAATAACCCCACCCTTTAAATTCTATCACCACTACCACCACCACCCCAACCATCAGTAAGAAAAGAATGGAACAATCCACTTTAATGAATGTTTAGAACAAGCCCACACTACCAGTCTCAATGAGTTTACTATGCTCCATTTGCACATATCAATTCCATACAGCAAGAAAAGTTTTCTTTATGCAGATGTGCTAGAATTTTGCCTCCATGTTTGAATGGAATTGACAGCAAGAGTTCAATGCTTTCAAATATTGTTAGGGCTTTATCTCTGCTCTTTCCTCATTCCTTCAAATTTGACATTAAGTTCATTCATACTATTAACAACACAACATCTCTGTCAGGGTTTGTCCGGGTAAGACAAAGAATTAATTATAAAAAAAAAACAAGAAGAAGTGTTTATGTGGCCTTATATCTCACTGCATCTAGAGGTGAATCAAAACAAAACTATGATTCTCTTTGATTAGCATCCTCAATGGCATTTAATACTGTCCTGTTGCTCGGATGGTATGTTTTGTTTGCTCATCATGTTTCCTATAAAGGTTTTTCTACTTCTGTACTATCTGTATCTACATCTATACACAATTTGTGTATATATATGTAGGTGTATATAGTTTTCTAAAAAGAAAAAATACTCACTGAGGCAACTGATGTGTATTGGCAATCTTAATTTTGTGTTGTAACATATATACTGTGTGCACATGTGTCACGAACTCCATATGCTTTATGAAAATATGCTTATGAATGTGAATATGATGTAACTGGAATATGCTCTATGCAAAAAGGTCTCTTGTAAGGTATCATTAATCTACTGAGTGTGTTCATCCTATTTGTATGCATGTATCATCTTTGTATCTGAAGCTAGAAATATGAAGTATAACTCTGAGGTCCTATTGTAACTATGCAAAGTGTGGGCCATTAATGGTGGTTTAGAATCTTGATGGCTCCCATTGACTAGGACAATTGGTTGTAGATGGTTTATTTACCTGCAAGCCTTCCTGTGTACGCGTGGACCAGCCCGTGGGTAATGAAGAATGGAGTCTCACAGGACATATGATCATGTCACCTGATACTGGAATCCATCTTAAATCTGGTACTTTTCCATTTAGAAGGAGCGGTGGGGACCCAGAGAGACAAAAGATTCACCCCTTTTTATAGCTTTGGCACAAGGTGTGAAACAGAACAAAGGGCTGCCAGCCATGAGAAAACCCCGGCTTACCACCGGAGATGTCTGCTGGAATTAACAAGGACTGTACCAGGGGAAAGAATTGGGCCCAGACTAGAAAGGCGTCTAGTCTGTGAAAGAAGCTTATTGGAACATCTCTGAGGGCGAGATATTACCTGTAATTAGTTTCTTAGTGTATTAGGCTTAGACCTGCGTGTTTTTGCTTTATTTTGCTTGGTGACTTACTTTGTTCTGTCTGTTATTACTTGAAACCACTTAAATCCTACTTTTTATAGTTAATAAAATCACTTTGTTTTTTAATAAACCCAGAGTAAGTGATTAATACCTGGGGGGCCAAACAGCTGTGCATCTCTCTCTCTCTCAGTGTTAGAGAGGGTGGACAGCTTTATACAGAGCAACATGAATTTATTTGGGGTTTGGATCCCATTGAGAACTGGGTGTCTGGGTGCTGGAGACAAATAACCTGCTAAGCTGTTTTCAGTTAAGTCTGCCGCTTTGGGGGCGTGGACCAGACCCTGGGTCTGTGTTGCAGCAGGCTAGCGTGTCTGGATCAACAAGGCAGGGTTCTGGAGTCCCAAGCTAGCAGGGAAAATGGGCTCAGAGATAATTTCAGCACATCAGGTGACAGTCCCAAAGGGGTCTGTATGACCGAACCCCGTCACAGCATGCATATGACACAGAAGCCAAGGATGAAGGCAACAACAGGGTAGAATCAAGTCCCCTACCAACAGTGAAAACACAAACAAGAAGTAGGTGGCTGCTTCGAAGATCAGCACACTTGAAGAAATATGAAGCCTAACAAGGCACAACGGGTTGACGTTAAAGGCCATGTCCCCATGGTGGGCTCTGTGCTAGTAACCTGTGCTTGCACAAAAAAAAAAAAACAACAAAAATTGTTAAAAGGAACACTGTAGCAACCTGTGTGGAGCTTCAAAGGAGGAGGATAGGTTGTAGGAAGGAAGGGTTCGGAGGGAGCACCAGGAAGTCAGTCTGTGTGCACATGGCTGGAATATTAGCAGTGGTTGTAGCCTCTCTGTAAATAATTCTATTAAGAGCCATTTTAGTTTCAGAAACATGAAGTCCTCACATGTTTTATCCAGCATACAGTACATTAAAATGTAGATATATCAAGACTACCAAACTCTGACATATACTCAGTTATTTAGATAAATTCAGAGTCTAGCCTAAAAGTGGTCAAATTCAGATACACGTAAACTTATAGAGCTTGAAACTAAGAAAAAAAACCCCCAAATATTGTATTGCTTAATAAAATGGTCTTCCAACCAGGATTCTACCAGAAAAATAGTTCTGGTGATTATTTTAGATAAGTTTCTTGTGGGTATGTATGTGGAAGTCTTCCACATGATATACAGTACAGTGATATAACAGCAATCTGCATATTAAGGTCCCAGTCCTACTGCCTCAAAGCGGGGGTGGGGGGGGGGAGAGGAACTTTCACTGACCTGAATGGAAGATTTGCTTGCATAAATTAGAGGATCAGGGCCCTTAAGCGATACCAAAATAAAAGGATATTGCAAATCAAAGGAGGCTACATTACTACTAAGGAAGGTATCCATTTACAATTCATTAAAGGGATTTTATACAGTAAAAAACTTTCCCTAACTTTGGAAACATTCAATAGCTCCTTGAGGGGATAATGTACAAGCAACAAGGCTGACTATGGCCATTAAAGATGCCAATAATGAGGATGATTCAGTAGGCTGGGGGATTACTCACACTGGAAAAGGAGACTTAATGCTGATCTTTACTGATGCTCTTCAGACTATACAGCTGATCCATATAAACTTTTGACACTAAAAAGCAAACAACAACAAGTCTTGAGTTATTAATCAGCACAAAGTTTGAGGTAACTTATTAAGCATAAACAACTATCAGAAATGCTACTGGATAAGAAGAAACACTGGGTGTCATATGGAAGTGAATGTTAAAGACTGACTCAAGAATAAGAGTAGAGAAAGCAAGAAATGCATATTGGAAATGAGTTATTGTATTTATTCCTAATCATTCTTAATAAAATTAGTTCCTAACATTTCTTTTTATGCCCTGGGCCTGATACATCTCTCCATTGGCCAAGATGATCAAAAGCACGCAGCAGTGAGGCGGAAAAGACAAAGTACTTTGCAAAAGGCTTGCCTCTAATCTTAGGGGTCTAGAGAGAGCACACCATGGAGTTGGGGACCCACAGGTCAGAAAGTGAGAAAGCCGGCAGCATAGTCCCTTGAGCACCAGATGGACTTTCTGCTCGAAACAGCAATACGTCTCCTCACAGATTCTACCCCACATTTGTGATCAAAATGAAACCACTGAAATTTGATGGGCTCAGTACAATTTCTCTGAGACTTTACATTCTTTCAAACATGAAAACAAGAATCTAGTTGAATAAAACAAATTATTTATATGAACCCACTGTGACATTATTGACATGAACTGTGAACGTATAGATCATTGTTGCAACCAAGGTCCTATAGTTGCACCAAATCTTAGACACCGTACTTGACCTCCTTTGTACATGAAAAGGTTGTAATTTGCTGGTTATTATGCTGTCTGTATGTGTATCATTTTTGTATTCGAAGTTATGAATATTGGCTATGTACTTGTATCTCAATGTGTTTGATTCTAACTAGCATCAGTGAAGCATTTGGTCAGCTTCTTGAGAATGGGCACTTACTCAGAATAGTCCTGTCAAGAAACACTTAACTGACAGCGGACCTTGGGAGACTCCAATCCACATCAGCCTTCCTGAGAACGTGTAAGATAGCATTTGAGCAATGGCTGCCGCCTGCAAACTGAGTCATGCATGGACATGTGACTTGCCCATGTGACTCCAAACTCCATTTTGCTGCTGTGATTTTCCACAGTAAGAACAAAAGGGTTTTCTTCCACATGGCAGAGGATATAAAAGGCCCTGGAAACCCCTCCATTTTGTCTTCAATCCTGCTTCTGACCTCTGGAGGAACTATGCTTGAAACTGAAGCTCTGAACAAAGGACTGAACGACCAATCCAAGCTGGGATGTTTGTACTCCAGACACTTAATTGGTTTAAATCAGTAGTAATCCCATCAAGCCTGAAACAAGCCTGAACTAAGAACTTTGCAATTGTTGTATGTATTTGATTACATTTAACCAGTTAGAACTCTCATCTGTATTTCTTTTTATGAATAAACCTTTAGATTTTAGTTTCTAAAGGATTGGCAACAGCGTGATTTGTGGGTAAGATCTGACTGGTATATTGACCTGGGTCTGGGGCTTGGTCCTTTGGGATCAGTAGAATCTTTTTTCTTTTACTGGGGTATTGGTTTTCATAACCATTCATCCCCCATAAGGAGTGGTGCTGGTGGTGATACTGGGAAACTGGAGTGTCTGAGGGAATTGCTTATATGACTTCTGGTTAGCCAGTGGGGTAAAACCAAATTCCTCTCTGTTTGGCTTGTTGGTTTGCCTTAGTAGTGAAGGACCCCCAGCCTCGGGCTGTGACTGCCCTGCTCCAAGCAATTTGTCCTGAATTGATACTCTCAGTAGTGTCCCGCCAAAGGCTGCTTTGTTACACCCCCCACAAGAGGATAACGTAAGAACCAGTAAATTAGACATGACTTTGCATTGAGGTATAATAGGTAAAAAGATGCGTGTACTTTGGGCCGTGTATGTTAAAAGATTACACACATCACTGAGCAGCAGGGTGGTAATAAATAGCCTCTCTCTATGTGGCTCTGCTGCAACCACATCTAGATATATTGCAAGCGTGGCCAAACTGTGGCTCGTGAGCCGCATGTGGCTCTTTTAAAGTTAAAAGATGCCCCCACGGACCTCCCCATTCTCCACCTACCAGACTGGACCGGGGGGCTGGGGAGAAGAGGAGCTCGGGCTTCTCCCCTGCGGCGGGGTGATGGACTAGGGGCCACTGGGGAGAAGCCCCACACCCCAGCAGGTGCCGCGCTGCAGGGCAGATTGCGTGTGTCTTGTGGCTCTTGAACTTCTGAAGATTATTGTACGTGGCTCGGAGAGTCAGTAAGTTTGGCCACTCCTCATATATTGTATTCTGGTCTGGACTCAATCTTACAAGAAAAATGATGAGAAGACTGGAGGGATCAACGTAGGAAAGAAAATGAAGAGGATTAAATATATGCAGTTTGACTAAGCGGTGGGTGAGGTAACATGAGATGACAGTCTACCAATATTCAAAAGTGTAAAAACACAAAGGAATGAAGGAAATCTAGTGTGTGGTACCTGGAGATATAACTAGGACTATTGCACGAAATTTAGGGAAAAAAATTTAAACTGAATATCAGGGAAAACTGCCACTGAGATGTATTTAGGGTGACCAGACAGCAAATGTGAAAAGTCAGGACAGGGGTGGGTGTGGAGGGGAGGGGGGGTATTAGGAGCCTATATAAGAAAAAGACCCAAAAATCGGGACTGTCCCTATTAAAAAAAAAAATGGGGAGGTCCGTGGGGGCATCTTTTAACTTTAAAAGAGCCACATGCGGCTCACGAGCCACAGTTTGGCCACGCTTGCAATATATCTAGATGTGGTTGCAGCAGAGCCACATAGAGAGAGGCTATTTATTACCACCCTGCTGCTCAGTGATTTATTAGGCCAGTGGTCCCCAACGCGGTGTCTGTGGGCACCATGGTGCCCGCCAGGGCATCTATGTGCACCCGCATACTGGCCAGTGGACGAGCATCACCAAAATGCCGCCGACAAGCAGTGTCATCCAGAGGTGTTGCCGCCGAAATGCTGCAGATTTTTGGCGGCGATGCCTCTGGATGCTGCTGCTTGTCGGTGGCATTTCGGCAGCGACGTCTATTGACGTTGCCGCTTCTCGGCAGCATTTCGGCAGATGCTCGTCCGCCGGCCACGGTCCGCGGTGGCTCATCATCTGGCGCCTGCCAGATGAAAAAGGTTGGGGACCACTGTATTAGGCTATGGAATAGTTCTCCTGAAAGTAGCGGTGAAAGCTTATTGGCTCCAAAATTATTTTAAACTAGAACGGACAAAAAAGACTAGGAAACAAACCAAGGAAACAAATCTACATTGGCAGAGTGTTAGACTAGATGATATAAGTGGCTTTTCTAAATCTAACTTCTTTGATTCCTAAAGGCAAGAACGTGGTGTCACAGAGGTCAATTGTATTTTTAAGGTAAGACACAAGTACTTTATGTACATAGTCAAAGCACTGGGAAATCATCAACTAATGAATCTACCACCCCATAAGTGAACTTAAGGGGAAAAAAAGCACACATTACATTGCTTTGTAGATCCAGCTTTGCACTGGTGAGTGCTGCAGCATCCAACAAACAGTTCCTGGAGCTGCCAGGGCTGCTAACATCTGTCATAACGCCAGGACACAAAGATACTGTGTCAAGATAAGATGACAGATACAGATTCAGGTCCTGATCCTGCAAAAGGTCTCACATGTGCACACTTGTTCTCAAGGCAGCAGGAATTCACATGGGCACAAGGGGGATGATCAAGCAGATAACTCTGCAGGAATGGGGCCTCAAGCTTTTGAACTAGAATAACTATGTTAATTTGAGCTCTATTTCACAGTGTTAGGAAAAAATTCATTTGCCAGATGGAAAAGGGATAAAATCTGGTAGACGGAAAAAAATATTTGAGGTCTCTAAAAAGGGTACTGCAGAACTTCACACACAACAGGAGATAGCTAGGGAAAAAGTTATTTGACAGTGTTATTTTGAGTGTGTCTAGTCTAATGCAAAGTGCTCAAATGGAAAACACGTAATAAGGGAAAAGATCTCCTTGTCGCTGCGGTCTTTATCCAATGTATTAAACTGATGGTCAGATGCTCAAGCCTCACTAATTGGCAGGACCTGTAGTAGGGATGTGACTTCACATTGAGGGGGCCCAGACACAGTAGCGAGTCAGAGGGCAGCACAGTAGGCAGTGACGTTGCATGCTGCTGAACGGGGCCAGCAGCTCGCTGCCGGCTGAAACGAGCTAGCCTGCTCATTTGGCAGAAAGACCAAAGACTCAGCAATAGGAGATAGACAGCAGTCCATCCTGGGGAGGCTGGGAGTAAGAGTCTGAGGAGAGGAAGAAGTAGGCTGGAAAGAAAAGTCTTCCCCAGCGTGTGAGGTGGCGGGGGATCATAAATGTGCTTTATTCAGGCCCCCAATTGGCCTTTATTCACTCGTGCTAACTGCATCAAGGCCAATCTGTCCTTCTCATCTGTGGAGGACTTTATGGAGATCTGTCTTAAGGAAAAGAATAATAGAATGTGCTGTCGGGGTGAAGCTTTTTCTGGTTATGTGAAGTCCATCCATCTTATTTATTTCATTTTAATAAGAACAGCTGCATTCACCCACTTCTACCCTGAACATGGAGCTTTGGTTAATTTGTTCTTCCATCAGTGGAGTGCCCTTAACATCTGTTTAAAAACACCGTCGTTATTTTTGAGTCTCTTTCAAAGGGCTATTTCTGTAAATCAAAGATGTTCTTTGTTACTCTGGTATGTCAGAAAGCAAAAGGCTTCAGTTATTTCCTGTTCAACAGACGCGGGGTTGAGCATACAAAGCCTACACTTCTGGCCACCAGTATGGTCACTCACTGCTTTAGAGAGGAGGAAAACATTTTAAAACACATTTCACATAAAAGAAACTTTCCCTACATTGTGAGCTGATACCACAAAGATGAATCAGAGCATTTGCATTTTGTTTCACACAATTTGTGTGCCTATGTTAATCTTCAAAATAGTTTTTTTCCCTTTTCTTTTTAACCTACTTTAATTTTATTAATAAACCTATACATATTCCTCAGAA